GAGATAACCCACGGGGTTGGACAGGCTTGTCACGTTCAACCGGGGAATCGAAACCTAGCCAGTTGACTCAATGACAGACCGTATGATACAGCGCAGTCCCAAAGGCTGTAGCCTACCGTGCAAATTCCAGCCAGCATAATTTATCTATATAAGAAACATTTATTCCTACTGGCGATTTACAAATATTGCATGAAGAAATTCAAATCATAAGAACATAAACACGACTAATGCACAGTATCATATTGATTATAAAAGTATAATGTATATATTGGTTATACTATATATGTCACAAAACAACAATCATTAGATAATAATAATTATTTACTAATTATATAAATCATTTAGGAGGTAGGAGTTATCCATTGTTTAATTTAACAGTTATATAATTACCCTGATTAGAGAGAGAGAGAGAGAGAAATGGGGTTTAACGTCCACTCGACACAAACTAGGTCATTTAGGGACTAACATATGGTTTAATTTTATTTCTATAATTCGCTTCCGCGTAGGGGTCTTTAGCAGTGGGAGGAAACCGGAGGACCCGGAGAAAACCCACGAGGTTGGACAGGTGACCCTACTCCTTGTCACGTACAACCGGGGATTCGAAACCACGCCAGTCGACTCAATGACAGACTTTATGATACAGCGCGCTCACGCTAACCATTCAACCCCCCACCCTGGTTAGAAAGGTATGAACAATTATAGAGAGAGAGAGAAATGGGGTTTAACGTCAACTTGACATAAACTAGATCATTTCGAGACTAACATATGGTTTAATTTTATTTCAATAATTCCCTTGCGCGTAGGGGTCTTTGTTAGTGGGAGGAAACCGGAGAAAACCCACGAGGTTGGACAGGCGACCCTACTCCTTGTCACGTACAACCGGGGATTCGAAACCACGCCAGTCGACTCAATGACAGACTTTATGATACAGCGCGCGTGTGTTAATTGTTTTTAACAATTATTACTTATAACTATTGCGAAAGTTGTGGACAGACCGTAAGTTGTGTAAATCTTTAACGTGCACGAAAATTGAAAACCGGCCCTAATTATGTGAATTCCAACCGATTTTCGAAAAAGTTATATTTTTGTACAGCTTGGGATATTGCGGATGCGATAACGGCCGAATTGAAATACCATGTCATTCTCATTTTTTCTTCAAAATTTGAAAATTTACTAAAATTGTTATTTCTTGGAATTTTGAGTTTTCGCTTACATATTTGGATTGGCGGCGTCTGTTCGATTCTACCGATCTAGGATTATCATGATGTGAATTGTTCAACTCTATTTTTCAATTACCTTCTCTATCGCAATGCGAATACAAAGAACGTGTCAATATCTGAGTTATGTTAGTGTATTGGTTTTTTTTGGGGGGGTGGGGTGTGGGGGAGTGGTGAAGAAAGTCTTTTGTCATGCATCTGGCGATCGTGTGACGCCTTGGCACGGTGAAAGCCTTCAGTCTTGCAAGCAAGTCTAGTTATTCTTTTTTTTTTATTGGGGGAAGCTAGATCTCAGCAACTATAAGAAATAGAGGTTTGAAGTTTGATTTTCTGTTGGGAAAGTGGTGTGCAGCTACTGCTTAAAGCTATTTCCAAATTTGTGCGCATAGCGGAAATGCGTCAAATCTTTAAATCGGCCATTATTCTCTTAATTCTCAATGGATTCTTCAGATATTTACATTTTTGGATAGCTGGAGACATTTCTGAGCAGATAGCAGTTCAAAACTGTGGAAATTAGAAACTTTGTCGCTCTTAATTTTTTTGGTGAAAAATGGAAAATTTCCAAAATTTTCTAAAATTTTTATTTTTGGGAATTTTGAAATTTCAGTTATATTTTTGGATAGCTGACATCAATCCTATTCCATTAATATAAGTTTTGTTCTGAAATGTTGACTTTGATTTTTCACTTTTTTCGCATTTTGGTCAAATCGTAGAGTTCTTATTTTTTTAAAACGGCTCCAACGATTTTTCTGAAACTTCAGGAATATGAAGTCGAAGGACCAGACCAGTCCATGAACTATAAATGAAAATCCCCTAATCACTGGAAGTAGTCAAGAAAGGTATCCAAACTTTGACAAAATTGTGAAAAATGGGTGCCTGTGCGGAAAATTCGACGTATCAATTGTGTTCTTGTCGATTAGTTAAAGTTTTATATCGTTTAATAGCCAATTGAAATGTCTATCGGATGGTACTAAAGCGGCATGTTTCTATCAAAAATTTAAAAAGTTATGTGATTTTGAAAAGGAACGTTTTTTACGATTTCGAGCAACTTTGGACGCATGTTTCTCGGAAAGTCTCCCAACAATTTTTTAAAGACTTTCTCAATCGAGAGGCTAATGGGTACTCTGTTTTGTGAAACCACTGTATCATTTTTTGAAATGTCAGGGGTAGCCGAAAAAAGAGATCGAAAATCGAAAACGTATTTTTACGATTTGGAGCATTTTTAGAGGCCTATTTCTCGAAAAGTCAACATACATAAAACGATTTTACAATAGTCCGAAATTTCAGGAGTAGCAGAACAAAGGGATCGAAAATTGAACACGGCACCTTTCATTGTTAAGCGAAACATAAGTGGGGGATACAATCTGTATGTTTTGTCAACGTATAGAGTCTATTCAAGAGTGCTTTTATCAGTGATGATATTTGAACTGAAATTATTTCAACTATGAGTGTTTTCTTCTTTCCAAAATATGGGTTTAGTGACCCTGTAACAGAAATAGTTGATTGCTGTGTGTAATAATTAGCCTTTGAATTAATATTGTTGCTTCTGTGTCAAAATTATCTTATACCGGTAATCATCTGGACAAAAATCGACGGCTCGCGCTGTTTAAAAGAAAGTCCAATTTATTAATGGATTGCAGTAGTATCGTACATTGGTATCGAATATTGCACCTGTGATAAAAGGCATGACGTTGTTTGAGCATGGACTCTATCTGTAATTAATATTAGATTCTTATTAGTGACGTCAAATCTTTAACGTGCACAAAACCAGAAAATTGGCGATATTTCATTGAATATTCAATCAATTTTTGAACCAGTTACATATTTGAGTAGCTGACATGAACGCGATTCCGAAGTCCCGTGTACACATTGGTGTGACCGTAAAAGATCCCTTGGCGGTTGGAATTCTATATAAAAGAAGACTAGCGCCGCTGTACGAGCATGTTTAGAGATCATTTCGGGTCTAAGATATGATTTATTTCAACAATTCGCTTGCGCGTAGGGGTCTTTAGCAGTTGGAGGAAACCGGAGGACCTGGAGAAAACACACGAGTTTAGACAGGCGACATACTCCTTGTCACGTTCAACCGGGGAATCGAAACCCAGCCAGTTGACTCAATGACAGACCGTATGATACAGCGCAGTCCCAAAGGCTATAGCCTACCGTGCAAATTCCAGCCAGCATAACGTATCTATATAAGAGACATTTATTCCTACTGGCGATTTACAAATATTGCATGAAGAAATTCAAATCATAAGAACATAAACACGACTAATGCACAGTATCATATTGATTATAAAAGTATAATGTATATATTGGTTATACTATATATATGTCACAAAACAACAATCATTAGATAATAATAATCATTTACTAATTATATAAATCATTTTAAGAGGTAGGAGTTATCCATTGTTTAATTTAACAGTTATATAATTACCATGGTTAGAAAGATACGAACACCTAAGACACCTACGATATTTCTGAAACGTCGGGTATATGAATTCGACGGACCAAACCAGTCCGTGAACTATAAATGAAAATCCTCTAATCACAGGAAGTGGTCAAGAAAGGTATTCAAAATTTGACAAAATTCTGAAAAATGGGTGCCTGTGCGCCAAATGCGATGTATCAATTGGTTGTTTACCGAGTACTTAAAGTATTATTTCGTATGATAGCCACGTGGATTATCTACGAGATGGTGCTATAGCAACAAGATTTTATTGCGAACTAAAAAATTTATGGGACTTTGAAAAGTAAGGTTATTTACGATTTCGGTCAAGCTTAAACCCATGTATCTCGGAAAAGCCGCCAATGATTTTTTTTCAAACTTGCTCAATCGAGATTCTACTGGGTAGTGTATTGTGTGAAACCCTTGTACAATGTTTCTAATTGTCATGGGTAGCCTAAAAAAGAGATCGAAAATTGAAAACAGCGTATTTTAACGAGTTGGAGCATGTTTAGGGGTCTATATCTGAGTTATGCTAGAGTGTGGGTTTTTTGGGGAGGTGGGGGGAGTGCTGGGGTTAGTCTTTTGTCATATATCTGGCGATCGTGTGACGCCTTGGCGACGGTGAAAGCCTTCAGTATTGCGCGCAATTCTAGTTAAGATTTTTTTCACATTTTAATTTCCCATTAAAAAGTCAGTTAACTGAACGGTAAGTTAGTAACAAATTTTCTCAGGATCATAAATTTGAATAACGTACGGGAATTAAATATGAAAAATAATGAGGCGCACCTATTTTTTTTATTACGTACGAATTTGAATATTTTGTTGACACGTGATTTTTAATTGTGGTCTAAAACCGCCTGCTTAAATGATAATAGTTATGCCCCTTTATTTTCGGTAAAAATGTCCGACAAGAAAAATTATGAAACCCCATCACTGTTATGTTTATATCCAAAAGATCTCGGTTCCTTTCGATATTCATGCTTATCAGACCATAACTTCCTGGATTATGCTCCCTGATTGTACAAAAAAATCGCTTTTAGGTCGTTCTCTGTCCATCTCTTGCAAAATGTGGGTGTAGCTTGCATGACAACCACTTCTTTTGTTTGGGAGTCACTGCCCTTGTCATTCGGACCCCATGATATCTAGTTAATGCCCTCTTTTTCATGTGGACGTATTATACTGTTGCCCTTGTCCGTATCAGTTCACATTTGTTTGTGGACACCCTACATGTCACAACGTGTCAATTTTGACGGAACTTAAAATATATGTTTATATCCGGTATATATATAGTCAATGATATTCTTTCAACTTAATTCACAATTTTATTTTAGTCCGCTGTTTTACAAGCTCAAGAGGCTGTTAATAAACAAAAACTGTTATTGAGAGCAAAGAACAAGGAAATTGGTGAAAAAGTGGCTGAACAAAGAACTTGTCAAAAAGAAATTAAAACCACAAAACTAGAGATGCAAGATTTAGATCATAAAATTACTAAACATCAGAAAGACTTTAGAGATGCTATTAAATTGGTATGTTGTTGTTTATTACAAATTTAGATCATAAAATTACTAAACATCAGAAAGACTTTAGAAATGCTATTAAATTGGTATGTTGTTGTTTATTACAAATTTAGCGTCCAATACAAAACATGGCAAGATGCATAGTGTGTAGAACTGATCTCTGAGTATTGACTAACTGGGTTCTGTGTTAGAATATCCTTAAATCAAGTGAAATAAGTTAATTGTGGTTACTATTCATGGTAACTCATGAGAAATATATGTGTTGTCAGTAGTTGCTTAAACCTGTCAGTACTTGCACCATACATCAGATACGCCATACAGTGTGCTATAAGGAAAATTTTGCCCGGACAGCGGCACCACGGCCTACTCTTATATCGAATTCCAACTGGCAAGGGATTTTTATGTGCATGCCATTGTGTACACAGGACCTCGTTTTTTCGTCCCATGCAACGATTCGGCAGCTTTCCTTGTCAGGCCCTCCATTCTGTATCACTGACAAGGGGGAACCAAGCCAGAAAATCTGGATGAACTTTCTCGGCCAATGCAGGGTTCAAACACCCAACCTCCAGACTAGCGATCCTGCATCTACCCACTTAGCCACTGTGACCCCCCAACCAAAATGGAAAAAAAAAAATGCAATTTTCAACGCTATTTACTATAACCCAAAAAGTGACCACCACATTTTAAAGTAAGCAATTTGAAATATTTGAGACTGATGTAACATCAAATGATATGGATTTGTAAGTTTGAGAAAAATATGATGGAGTTTGGGTTGTTACCATAGCAACCACAGTATTTTTTTTTCCAAAAAGCATTATTTTCCAATAATTATGACATCAATATTGATAATTGTATTATTTTAAAATTAGATGCTATTGTGCAAGATTTCTGAAAATAAATAAAATCAAAATATTTATATATGTCTTCTCTCAAAAGCTGGAGAGAGGGTTCACTTTTGAAAAATATTCCGCAGTAGCAAATTGTCCATTTTCGTTGTTATTAAGACATAAATAAAATATGAAGTAATTGAGATCTTGGAAGTGGAGTTTTGTTTAGAAGTAAATATGTTTGTGAATTTTTAAAATTACATAACTCTTCTCTTAAATTACTTAATATTTGGTTAGAGCAACCAAAACGAAAAACAAACCCCCAAAAATGCAATGTGATACCATTTTCAATGGTGTTTACCATAACGAACTAAATGATCACCACATTTGAAGTACGGTACTGGTAAGCATTTTAGCACATATTTACAACGCAAGTAATGTAAAATATTATGAATTGTATAATTTTAGAGAAATAATAAGGACTTTGGGTGGTTGGCATAGCAACTACATAATTTTAAAATTAACATTACTGTTGTTTCACTGTCATTATATGGTTCTCAGCATTTATTACTTAAATGTTACAAGAAGAATTCTACTTTGACATATTATTGACATTGACCAATAAAAAGTTATTTCTGTTGTGCATAATTCTCTAAAAGTATGTTACCGATAGGCTATGGTAGTCATGTTAAGGCCTAGACCTGGAAGCTATGTTATGTGGCCAAAGATAATGCGATGATTTTTACTCAAAGAATTGTTTTTTTTTACTTCACTTTTGAATTTTCATCATTCATTCAAATCTGTATGTAGTCTATTGAGCAGTTTCCTTTTTATTTTGTACATTTTCATTGATGTGAATATCAAATCAAGGCCTAAAGGCCTTACGTTTGTCGGTAGTTTCAATTTGTTTAACTGGCCAACAAATATATAATGCTCGAGGTGTTAGATATATTCCCCCCTCAACCCCGAAACCCCCCAGCCCCCCCCCCCCCCACCCGCCCAAAAAAAAACCCAAAAAATTAAATTAAATTATTTAATCAATTATTTTGTGACAATTCGGTATCTGCACAGAGTAAAAATACACAGAGTGGCGACTCGCATTACGGCCAATAGAAACACTGCGACGCGCAATGCATCTTGGGAATTGTCTGTAATAAATATTGACCTTAATCTATCGCACGAAATGCAATGTCGTCATTTATAAATATCGAACAGATAGGCCCCGATTTAAATATCCCCGAGTATATAGCGAATAAGCCAAATTTGCCGAATGGAAATATACTTGTTCTCGTAAATATACTTTGTATCCCCCGTGCCCTGGAATGGCTATGTTTTGTACATACGAAAAAGCATTTGTTTGAATTGAAATTGTCATTTATTTGCCTCATATCATTGACTAATAACAAATACTGGGCAAAATAAATAACACAATTTTTCCAACATGGAAATGAAACATACTAAAACATAAAATATATTAATATCAAAATGGTTCAATATAGCACAAATACAATTTAAACATGCATTAAGTGTCCCCTTGTGCAAAAGATGGGGTATCTACTACGGCACCAAAAAAAAAAAAAAAAAAAAAAACATGTTCATAATTAATACTTATAAAATTCACCCTTATTCAAAATTGCAATGGCAATTGAGAATAAATTAAAGGTTTTAAAACTAGGTATAAAATCCACAATTATAGAAAAAGCAAGGAAAAGTAAACAAACAATTGAAAATCGTTATATGTGTAAAAACTAACTGGTGGAGGAGGGGAAGGAAGGTGGTGTTGACAACTCTTATCTTTAAAAAAAACCTGTACTATTTGTGTTGACAACATTTTCTTTGCTGCAGTCTTGCCTCGTGCTTTGTTCAAAATGAAGCAGTTGAGGAATGATAACAAGAGTTACCTCCCCTGCACTGCAATACAAATTCTATTTCACAATATGAAATAGATCTTTTGTATCCCCCGTGCCCTGGAATGGCTATGTTTTGTACATACGAAAAAGCATTTGTTTGAATTGAAATTGTCATTTATTTGCCTCATATCATTGACTAATAACAAATACTGGGCAAAATAAATAACACAATTTTTCCAACATGGAAATGAAACATACTAAAACATAAAATATATTAATATCAAAATGGTTCAATATAGCACAAATACAATTTAAACATGCATTAAGTGTCCCCTTGTGCAAAAGATGGGGTATCTACTACGGCCACAAAAATTGTTGATTTCAAACAACAATTTCCCCCCATCCCATGACCTGTAAAACAAACACCATCAACATTAACATTAACACGTGTTCCAAAAACACGCTGGTGACTAAAAAGGCCATCACTGATAACCCAATGTTCTCAGTAAAGACCTGTACAAAAACAAATTAAACACAATAATTGTAAACTTAAATATTCCCAGAAAAAGACAAAAAACTTTCACGAGTTTTGTTAATTGAGCAATTCTCCGAAAACCAACCGGTGACTAAAATACTGATAACCCAATGTTCTCAGTAAAAATTGTACAAAAATCTGTCACCGGTTGACATTGAAATGGCATAGTGGGACAACAGGAGTGATCTAGAGTTTAAGCTCTGGAATCCTAATATATTTTTGGAAAGCTTCTGACTGCCATCGACCTAGAAGACGTATTTGGGAAAAGGGGATCCCTTTAGCAGCTGCTGTCGTAGCAGCACCTATGCGGAAACTATGAGGTTTATAACGTGCGCAATTTAGACCACATGCTTGAACAGCTAAATTGAGGTGGCGCATAAAAAAATGACGTGAAATTGGCGTCGAATTCATGAATGTAAACAACCACAAACTTGATTGGCGGCGGAAAGCAAGGTAGTCTAAAAGCGCTTGCACTGGGCATAGTTTAGGATTGTCAGAATTGCGTTCGATGAAAAGAATTGGATAGTTGTTACCCCTCTTGTGTTTAAAATTTTGCATATGAATTTCTAAAGATGAAATTACACCAGTATCAGTGGCTTTTTGAAAGACAATATTTTGCGTTTGCAGGTTGTTCGGGGAGTCTGTCATTTCCCCAATCCGCAAAAATGCTGCAAATGCCAGAAGAAACATAGCTGTAAATAATTTTTTCAGGAAAAATGACAAACCTAGGCCACCCAAAACCGTTACCAACTGAGCTAGAATGGGTTGTGTAATAGGCAAACGCTGGTCATAGGATACCGCTCTATTCTGATAACCCCTTATTAATCTACGCAAAACGAAATTCTGGGAAACATCTGGACCCCCAGTTAATTTCTGAATAAAATTTAAGGCGGAGACGTAAGAATTGACTGTGCTTGCCGCCAAATGATTAGAGAAACAATATGCTAGGAAATTACACAACATAGTTATTGATATTGGAAAAACTGCCTGTGAAGGGTAAAAGTGATTGCAAAATTTGTTATAGTGACGGAAAGCTAAACGATAAGACCGTCTTGACCCAGGGGTTAACGAATCTGTCACTAAATTTCCTGCAACAGTGTTCAGATCTGTAATAGATACTGTGGAACTACTGTAGGCGAGGGATCCATGTGTGGGAAGCTGTGTTGAAATTCGTTCACCTGTAATCGAGATAGTAAATCTGATTGAATATTAGACACTCCAGGAACATGGCGGGCAGTAAACAAAATATTAAATTCCATAATTTTCACAACAAACAAACGAATAAGTCTCATGATATTAGGTTCTCTAGATGTCTGCTTATTAAGCAAATGCACCACTGCTAAATTATCACAATGAAAACAAATTCTGGAGTTTTGCAAAATTGACGACCAAAGTTGGACTGCGATTACTATAGGCAACAACTCTCTGTACGTAATCGAGTATTCCAACCAGTTATTAGAAGCTGGAAGTGAAAACCAATGATTTTTTAATACAGCAGCAAAACCCACATTGCTTGCATCTGAAAACATGTTCAAAGACCTGGAGGACCGCGAAAATTGGGGGATTATCAACGCCCTTCCATTAAAATGGTTTATGAAAATACTCCAAGCGTCCAAATCGGCCCTGGCGGCCGAATTTAACTTCCTATGATGATGAGGCTTTTTTAAGCCGAGAGTTAAATCAATAATTCGTCTCATGAAAGGTCGACCCGGAATTACCACCGCACAGGCAAAATTCAAAAGTCCTAAAAGTGATTGAAGTTGTAATAAAGTTGTTTTGCGCCTGGATTTCATGTCA